CATGAAAGGATAAAACATTTAAAATACATATCTTAGGGTTCATTTTCTTAACATCACCTTATCTGACCTGTTCTGCTTGACTCTTACATATACTAGATATTGCAAATAAGGGAAATCATGGGATGGTATATATACACAATGGAATTCTATGCCTTCATCAGAAAGAATGACATTGCCCCATTTGTTAGGAAATGGAAAGACTTGGAAAAATTTATATTAAGTGAATGCGCTTCTTATCAAGCATTGTTGCCTCCTCCTTTGTTTTCCCTTACCATTCCTTCCCATCTCCCCCCAATCTAGCCCGGCCCCTCCCACCACGCCCCCACGCCAAAGTTGTAAGGTTCATTTTTCCCTAAATTTCTTGCACGCTCCTTTACTTTTTTACTCCCCAGGAATGATCATTGTCTTATATTCTTTTGCCAGGAGAAGACACTTTCATTTATCTGTACTATTAGTTTCCTTTTCATCTAGGATATAGATTTACCTTTATCTTTGTAGATGCCATGACTTCGTCTAATAAGCTTTACCTAGTCTCATCATGCTCAGGAATTGTCCTGTGTACATTTTCTTTCTTTTCATATTTTCATCAACCTGTTCTTAAAGCATTTTAGAACTATATTCTAGGTCCTTCATTGTCTGACCCATAGCCTGGACATTTTCTCTAAGAATTAATTTTGTTTTATTTGCCATTTTCTTGTATTTTCATGGATTATTTCTCTCCATTTTGAATCATTTGTATTTTCATGTTGTCTCCATTGTGTTCTTCTTTGAACAATGTAAATTGATTTCATTACATTAATTTTTAATGTTCTCACACGCAGATTTAACATTGCACATACATATCACAAAAGAGAAAGGAAAGCATTTTTATCCTCTTTACAATTTTGTGTTTTTTCCTTTTCTATATCTCAAGATTAATACACTAGCAAATATATTAAATATTAGTGTAATTCCTCATGGTGGATTTGGATGGTGGATTTCAATGTAAAGATTTCTCACAATTCTTTCCTGATTACCTACATTGGAGGCTCCTTTCCCCATATTCAGTACCTTGGAGTTGGTTGTCTACGTATGTTCTCATTACATAAATAACAGTTAAATTATCTCACCTGTTATTAAGCTTTTGTTGTGGTTGATATTGCAGGAAGAGCTGTTGATTTTGTTGGGTATGTGAGCAAATCTTGCTATAGAATCTTCATTAAATAATGCTTTCATTCTGAAAGATGCTATTAAATTGAAGAATTGTTAGTTAGCTCAACCTGCAATATAACCACTTAACAGCAACTGGGCGACTGAACCAGAAGGCTTTTCACACAGGTCTCCACCTGTTTTACCATACTTACCCAAGGTGAAGGCAATAGAATATTTTGTGTCTCATCACAACTTACTCCATGCCTAATGGAAAATGTTGCATGTATATGGTAGAGGAGATAAAGCAAGCGCTTGGCTGAACTAAGTTTCTGAATGTAATTCATGACAAATTCCTTTCATATCATTACATAACCCTATATTCAAGCACAAGACATTGTATTCATATTCCATCCTAATTGGGCAGAATGTTTTACGATACTTATTAGCAGAAACGCAAGCATTCCTTCCATAAAAACCATAATTTTGAAATACTCCTGCTGAATTTCTATGCTCATTATGCAGGTTTACCTTCAAGAACTACCAGTGTGTTTTGGCCTTGGCTTTTGCTATAGAAGAGATCAACAAAAACCCTGATCTTTTACATAGCTTAACTCTGGGATTTAGTATCTATGATGTTCAATATGGATCAAGGACATCATTTAAAAATCCTTTTGTTTGCCTTTTTGGGAAATATGACTTCCCAAACTATAATTGTATGAGAGACAACCCGTCTATAGCAGTACTTACAGGACCTTCAGGAGCATTATCTTCACAGATTGGGACACTGCTGGACCTCTATAATTTTCCACAGGTGAGAGTGTGAGGGGTGGGAGATCTTAAGAATGCCTAATTTAGTGCCATCTCAGGTGTTAGAAGAGGACAAAAGGAAGAGACTTCATTTATGGAGGGTAAGGGAAATAACAGAATGCTTAAATAAGGATACAAGTTGACCCATTGTAACAATGAGATGTATAAGACACTTTGGTGAAAATAAAGTTTACAACTTTGGCAGAGAGGAAGGGGGACAGGAGGAGTGTGGGAGGTGGGGAGGGAAAGGATGGTAGGGGAAAACAAAGGACGAGGTAACAATGCTCAATTGGAAATGTACTCATTACCTTACTCATGTAACTGTACCCCCTATGTACAGTATTTTTTACAATAAAAACATATTTCAAAATGTAGCATAAAAAAGAGTATGTATTCAAAGATAATGTGATATTTATAGTCCTGTTGGTTTTAAAAAGGGGATGAAAACATTATAGCCAAAAGGTATTATTTTAGAATTTTAAGCCTTATAATTGATGTAGATTCTTTAAAAAAATCAGGAAATGGAAAAAGACTATAAAATGTCCAGATATGTTGAGCATGATGCTGATGGACCACATCTCTAATCCTAATGACTCCGAAATCATTTCTAATTAATTAGAAAAAATCATGTGGTAATGTGTGGTTCAAGTGGTACAGTCCTACATTTGGGGGAAAAAGCCAAGAACTACTACAGAGTCCCTGGTCCTTTACTAACACACACACACACACACACACACACACACACACACACACACACTCATTCACACATATATGCAGGCTCATATGTAAGATATATTGAATGCAATATGTCAGACTTAGAAAGAGAAAGGAGGTATATGATCTCTGATATGTAATGTTTTGTTTAAAATAGGAAAATGAAATGTTTAAAATAACACACTCAGATATTTATATATAGGTATATATATATACATATATATAGGTATATATATATACCTATATATATATAGGTATATATAGGTATATATATACCTATATATATGTATATATATACATATATGATCAGTCTCACTGAAATATGGTACATATCAGGGTAGAATTGAGTGATATAACCGCTCAGAGAAAGAGACTGTACATAAAAACACCAGGCAACTGAGCATATCATCAATGAGGGTGGCTTTCTAGGTGTTCAGGGAATATGGAAGAGGAGAAAGGAGCAGAAGGGTATAGAAAATAATATAATATTCAATGTACATATATGTGAAAATGGAACTAGGAAAGTCAGTGAATATGTGGGGTGGATATCGATTACAGGAGTTGATGGAAACAGTGACAATGATTAAGAGATTTTGTAAAAACCATTAAATACATTGTCAAATAATTTAAATTTTTAAAATTTATTTCTTCCAAAATTAAACAAAAAACCTACCTTCCAACTATTGCACATAGTTATATGATATACACATCATGACTGGAATTAGGATGGATGGAAATCTTCTCATTTTTGCAGCCTCCTGTTCTCATTCCCTTTAGCTTACTTCTGGGCCTTTCGATCATGCTCTGAGTGACAATAAGATGTTTCCTGGTCTCTATCAAATTGCTCCAAAGGACACTTCAATAGCCAATGCCATGGTTTTATTACTACTTCACTTCAGCTGGAATTGGGTGGGACTGATAACCATACAAGATGAGAATGGTTTGTGGATTCTTCCTGCATTGAAAGAAGAGATGGGCAAGAACAGAGTTTGTGTAGCCTTTGAGCTATCATTACCAAATAATTCCATGTCGCATATTTTCAAAATTATGGTACATTATAACCAGATAAATAAATCTTCAGCAAATATCTTCATTGTGTATGCTGATAATGAGTTCCTACGACATTTATTTATATGTGTTGAACAATTTTTAATACAAGGCAAAGTTTTTATTATGAACTCAGAGTGGGATGTAACCATGAGAAAGAGATATTTCATTCTAGGTTCATTCCTTGTACCTCTCGTTTTCTCACACCATCACCCAGATGTTTCTGGATTTACAGATTTTCTCAAATCAGTTAACCCGTGCAAATACCCAGAAGACTTTTTTCTTGCTAGGTTATGGTTTCTCTCTTTTAATTGCTCAGATTCTGTGTCTGACTGTGTACAGTGGGAGAACTGTCCTCATGATGCCTCCTTGGATTGGTTGCCTAGGCATATATTTGACATGAGTCTGTCTGGAGACAGTTACAATATATACAATGCTGTGTATGCTGTGGCCCAGGCTCTCCATGATATGCTGCTTTATCAAACAGAAACACAAACAATGGGAAATAGAAATGGGATAATGTCTTCCCCTGCACAGGTAAGGCCTTCTGTGTTGTACATCACACATTAGGAAGAAAGTTACTTTGTAGAGAGGTTCTTACTCTATGAAATTCAATAATTTTGGTATTGTCTGAAACCCCAAGATACTATACTTCTTCAATTGTGTGTGAGATTCTCTAGGAATGTTTTTATGTACTCTTCAAGAAAAGCAGCCATAAAAAGGACAATTCTAAAAATTCTTTTAGTTACAAATAAACGAACATGTTTATAGCCAATATTTTGAAGACTTCAAAATCACCATTGAAATCTGCATTTCTTAAGTAAGTGTAAATGATGCCTCCTGCAAATAATTATGTATATTTTTCATAAGCGATCAAGTTTTATTCTATTTTATCTATTAAAATTTTACCAAGCTCATACTACAGATGATGACAAAACTAGTGGATGTAGAAAGCTATAGTAAGCAAATGAAAACTTTCTCACTAATGACTATTTACATGAAATTGGTTTGTCTTGAAGAGAGGCCTTCTATTTCCTTGCTGAGTGACCAGGACTCCGAAAGAATATTTTTATTCTCTGATAGGTTTTCTTCTAGGCAACTCACTAGGTGCCTCTACTATTCTTAAATTCTGAATCAAAAATTTAAGGCAATCAAGAGCCTTTCTTGGTTCAGGTTTTCCTTCTTAACTCTGGGATATATTTCACCATATATTTACCTTTTAGCTGCATCGTTTTCTGAAGAACATCCAGTTTCACAATCCTGCTGGAGAGCAAGTGATTTTAGATGAGAAAAAGAAATTGGGGGCAGAGTATGATATTGTGAACTTTTGGAATTTTCCCGAAGGTCTTCAACTTGAAATGAAAGTAGGAAAATTTTCTCCATATACTCTTAATGGTCATCAACTGACTTTATCTGAAGATCTAGTAGACTGGACCATAGGAACTACAGAGGTTGGTTGGATTCAACAGTAATGATTTTAAGGATATATAAGTAAAAATTTTTCACCCTTAAAATTTATATGTGGTTGTGTGCCAGTAACTTACTCCTATAATACTAGGTATTTTGCTGGCTGAGATATGAATATCATTGTTAAAAAACAGTGCTAAAAGGAAATGCTTTGAGACTAGTCTCGAATTAACCATCAATAAATCTGAAGTGGTGCTGTGGATTCGGCACTAAAGTGTTAACATTAAGCAACAAAGGTCAGATACCCAACCCAGATTCACATTGTAAGATTTAGTTCTGGCAGACACACACACACACACACACACACACACACAAACAGACAGACACATGCATGCCCGCACACACAAATGTATACCCTATGTGCTTACTAAAAACCAAGTGGTGGACATTTAAAATATTTCCCATTTAAGAAATTGGATTGACTGATTGTTGGCTATAAAAGGAATAGAATACATTAACAGTACTTGGGAGAGGGTACTCTTGCTTCTAATTATATCTACCCAGGAAGATGACTACCTCAGATCTAAGATTATAGTTTTGTTTAAAGCTCAACTGGGTAGAATATTCTATGAGACTTTTTATGCTTTTTATTTTAAAAATAGTATACAGAGGGGTTACAGTTACATGAGTAAGGTAAAGAATACATTTCCAATCGAGCATTGTTACATTCTACGTTGTTTTTCCCCTACTATTCATTCCTTCTCCACCTTCCCAACTCCCCCTTCACTCACCAAGTTGTAAAGTTCATATTCAACATAGTGTCTTGTACATCACATTGTTACAATGGGTCAAATTGTATCCCTATTTGAACACTTTGTTTTTTCCCTTCCTGTCCCCAAATTAGAAAAAAATGTAAATACAAGATGCAGGGTACCCAAATTATATACAGTGAAAACAGGGGGAGGGACATATCAAAGAAACGAAAAAAACACATAGCACATTATAAATACATTAAAAACAATAGCAAGAAAGGAAAAATCACTGTGTCACCATCTTTGTGTTCATTTCGCTTAACATCATCGTGTATGGTCATATTTCAATTAACAATAAAAAAACTCTCAACTGAAGATTTGGCTCAAATAATAAAATGCTAATCTTCAGCACAAAAATCTCAAGGTCAGTGCCCAGACTACGAGTTCAAGTCCCAGGATCATCTCCAAAGAAAGTTAACAGAGTGTTTCTAAAAGTTTATTAGGAATGTTAAGTTGCATTTTTCTTAGAAAGTTTCTACATTGTGACAAAGTATCAGAGCAATCACTTTATATGTTTTAAGGGTTTATTTTGCTCCCACTTGTGGAAGTTCCATTCAATGATTACTTGCCTACTGCTTAGGTATCTTTGGTGAGATGAATCAGTGAAAGAGCCTGAGCAAAAGAGATTCTCACCTCATGGCCACTGTATAAATGTGACAGTCTTTGTATTCAAATAACCCTAAAACAGAAGGCCTATGCAATATCTTACAGCACACTTTTCAAGCTTCAAAGAAAATTGTTTCTCTTTAATCCTCATCATTCACAAATAGCAGGAAATAACAAATAATGACATGAATTCAAGGAAATTCCATAGCACTGGCCAATAGGACTCACTTTCTCACCATTAATCAACTTTTAAAGGTCTCACACTTCTCAAGAGTTCAATAGGCTAAATAGAGATCAAGGTGATAGAACATAAGTTGTTTGTGGTATGATGTGGAATCTATACAAATGTTGAATTAACTGACCAGATTTATGTGCATAAAATGCTACATTTAATAATCCTATTCTTTAAATAAAATGGAATTTTTGGAATGTCAGGTAAAAGTCTGAGCAGTTACTGACACAGATCTGATTTTCTTCAGCCTCCTCACTCTGTCTGCAGTGAAAGTTGTGTTCCAGGATTCCGGAAAACCCCTCAGGAGGAAAAGGCTGCTTGTTGCTATGATTGTACCCCTTGCTCAGAGAATGAGATAGCTAATGGGACAGGTAAGTTCATGACTTGGGGAGAAATTTATATTCTCTAGTAGTGTCCCCAAAACCATGCAATGCAAAAGTTGTGTATTAGGATTGCAGCACCAATGTCTTCCTTTTTTTACTCATAAATTAATTGTGACTATAGAGGTTCTTGCTTCTTGACAAAGATCACAGGCTTTGAATTATGTGTAGAATTATTTTTTTACTCTGGCGTATGAATATTTGTTCAAGTAATCACTAATGTAAGTTTAATGCCCATTATATTAAGTGCAAAGCTACTTAAAGGATAAGCTCTCCGTTTTTTTTTTCAAAACTGACTTCAGAAAATAAAGAAAAAAGAGATCTTGCACATCTTTATTTCCTAGTGCCCAGAAATATTGTTGCTACACAGCAAGTGATGTGATTGTTTTCTGTATAAGAAGCAATCAAAAGGGTTGTGCACAGCATGACTTTAGAGCTTGAAAGTGTGATTTGATTTTATGGTGCCCAATGCATTACAAGCAAGTGGGACAGACAATATGACATCTTTAAGGAAGGGATATAGGGCTTTTATTTATATTGTCCAGAGACATGGAGGGAAGTACACACCCTGTGATGCACACTTTTCGATGAAGTGTTTGAGTGGTGAACACAGGCTTAGAAGAGCTATGGCAACATGAAGAGGTCTGGAAAAAACTTTGTATGTCCCTCCCCCACAGTATAACCCCTGCTTTCACTATATTTGATGTCAGTATAACTTGTGGCGGAGATGGGGAAAAAACAGTTGTTTAAGGATACGGGTGGACCTGTTGCAACAATGAGAAGTACAAGTTGTCATGTCCAAAATGAGCTTTACAATGTTGGTGCAGGGTGGGGGAGGAGAAGGATTGGGATTGTGGGGGAGGGGGGAGGCTGGGAAGTGATGTGAAGGGTAAACAAAGGAGGAGGCTGCAATGCTTGGTAAGAAATATACGCATTATCCTGCCCATGCAATTGTAACCCCTCTGTACAGTATGTTGACAAATAAAATTAAATTAAAATTAAAAAAAGAAAAAAAAGAAATGGATAGGAATAATATGTGTTATAGACATGTAAAAATAAAGTTGTTGTGAATGTATATTAGGAGTAGAGAGTTTGTCTAGCATGCATGAAACCCTGGGTTCAATTCCTTAGCATCACATAAATAGAAAGAGCCAGAAGGGGCACTGTGGCTCAAGTGACAGAGTGCTAGCCTTGAGCAAAGAAAGCTCAGGGACAGTGCCCAGGCAATAAAAGCAAGTCCCAGGACTGGATAAAAGAAGAGAATGTGGGAAAGTGTGTGGGAATATGATGAAGATATAATATGATACTGAACATACATGGTAATACTTGGGAATTTTTGTTCTTATGCTAATAAGTATTGACATGTTATAATTTTCTCTATATAAGGATTTTCTAATTTGATTTTAAGTACTGAAAAGATTATTTGAATTCCTCACCAGATGTGGAGCATTGTATGAAGTGCCCAGATCATCAGTATGCCAACACAGAGAGAAACCAGTGCCTCCAAAGAGCTGTAAGTTTCCTGGCTTATGAAGAGCCCTTGGGGATTGCCTTGGCCTGCATGGCTCTATGTTTATGTACACTCACAGCAATTGTTCTTGGAGTCTTTGTGAAACATCAGAACACTCCCGTTGTTAAAGCTAATAACCAAGTTCTCAGCTATATCTTGCTCATCTCCCTCTTCTTCTGTTTTCTCTGTTCCTTGCTCTTTATTGGCCGTCCAAACACAGCCACCTGCATTCTACAGCAAACCACATTTGGAGTTGTCTTCACAGTAGCTGTTTCTGCTGTCTTAGCCAAAACTGCAACTGTGGTTCTGGCCTTCAAGGTCACTTATCCAGGGAGAAGAATGAGGTGGTTACTGCTCTCAGGGGTTCCTAACTTCATCATTCCCATCTGTACTCTGATTCAGGTGACCTTCTGTGTACTTTGACTGGGGACTTCACCTCCCTTCATTGACACAGATGTACACTCTGAACACGGCCACATTATCATCCTGTGTAACAAGGGCTCCCTCACTGCTTTCTACTGTGTCTTAGGATACCTGTTTTTTCTGGCCTTGGCCAGCTTCATTGGGGCTTTCCTGGCCAGGAACCTTCCTGACACATTCAATGAAGCCAAGTTCCTGACCTTCAGCATGCTGGTGTTCTGTAGTATCTGGTTCACTTTCCTGCCTGTCTACCACAGTGCCAAAGGAAAAGTCATGGTGGCTACGGAGGTTTTCTCCATCTTGGCTTCCAGTGCAGGGCTGCTGGGCTGCATTTTTGCTCCCAAGTGCTACATCATATTGTTAAGGCCAGATAGAAATTGTCTGCATGGTTTTCGGGACAAAACATGTGCCAGTGGAAATAAACCCTCAAGATGAAACTTACATGTATGATTAAATACATAGGAGGTCAAGTAAATTCTAGACTTCTTTTTCCATCAGATATTCGTTTATATTGTTAAAATCAATTTGATGAATAAGTGAATCTCACTCATTTTTCGTGTGATAGTACAGTCACAAATTTTAGCCACCTACATTTTAATTTTGTTCCAATATCTTTGGATTTTCATGCTTACACTGCACTTATCCAATCATCTCCACTAATATATTTTAACTGCTACTAGTTTTTGAATTGTGCTTTCTTAATCTTTTGCCTAAAAATTTATTTTATGTTGCTAGTCCTGAGTCTTGATCTTAAAGCCTGGTTACTCTCAGTTAGTTAGTTAGTTTATTTATTCATTCATTCATTCATTTGGTCAAGGCTAGTGCTTTACACTTGAGCCACAGCTCCTCTTTTGGCACTGTAATGGTTAACTGGAAATGTTATTCTCTTAATGTTCCTTCCCACCTTACTTTTAAGCCATGATCACTAGATGTTATCCTGTGCAGCTGAGTTAATGGACTTTTTTTACTTTTAAAGTACATTATCTTCCTACCTGTAACTATTCTTCTTAATCATGACTCATTAATATTTTCCTCTTCCAAAAGTTCCATGTTTTATATACTCAATAGTGTTTAATTTGCTTCATACTTGTATATTACCATTCACACATCTTTCTTTTTCCTTATTCCTCAATTGATTTTGTTGAAATAATCTCCCCCATTCTCTATGATTTCATTCCCTCTCTCCTCCCTTTCCTTCCTCTCTTCTTTCTCCCCCCTCTCTGCTTTCTCTATATTGTTTTATAATTTTAAGAATTGGTTTAATAAGCTACAAAATACAATTCAGTTGTATTGTCTTTATGAAGTAACAGCTAAGGAATGTAGAGAATCATAATAGGTTGCTTATCCATGGCTGAATATAATTTTCAAGTTATTTTTGTGTAATTCCTTTACAAATATTGTGAAGGCTATCTGAGTTGGCCAAGTTGTGGAAAACAGAAGCTGCTAAGAACAATGAATCACAGAATTCTAAATTCGAAGTTTGTTCCTTGATGATTTCAGTTATAATTATGCAATGATAATTTGATGGCAACCTGTTAATCAACAGAAAGCAATAAATGGGGACCAATAATATATGATATATATCATATAATATATATTATACATATAACATATATATAGCACATTATATATATAATATATAACATATAATATATATGAGTATGTAACACCTTTTTTCTCACCTAATATTTGAGCGTCAAATCTTTGATTCCTCGTCCACCTTAAATAGTACTTAAATTACTGAGTATCTGTGTATCAGTTTGTACTTGTGAGACAGTGAATGGTGACAAAGGGAAATGTTGGTCACATTGGCTTGCTGGACATTAATGAAATTTATCTCTGGAACTAGATGGGAGAGAATGAGGGAAGAGATGACTCTATGTGAAAGGAATTGCACTCATTTCTGGATATATGTAAAGGTAAACCACACCTCTAACATAACAATAATGTAAATTGTGTGTTGGGGAAGAATTAAAGAAAACAGTGATTGTATGTCCAAAAAGTTTCCACATCAATAGTAAACCTATACCAAATCATGTGTTAGACAAAAAGTTATCTCTGAGTTTTTGCTAGAGTAAGAAACCTTATACAGTCGTGATTTTCTGGGTTTTCATTCCTTTATTTTTATTGTAATTTTGTGGTTTGGGTTTGGTTTATTTGAGATGAGTTAGGGGCAAGGTAATTATATATACCATGCTCATCTCCAGCCTTAGGAGTGGTAGGATTACAGGTGAAGCCCTCCATATCCAGCTTGGTTATGTTAAATATATCTAAATACTGTCTTTCAACGAAGTTGACTCTGGAAGCTACTTATTCTAGTGATGAAACCTATGTTCATAAACAATTTTGGAAGTGTTTTAAAGTCAAATAAATAAAACAACTGAGGAAAACATCTTTTGGATTCCCTATATTCATTTTTAGCCACATAGGTAGTTAGCTTTGATCACATTTTATTCACTACTATTCATTTTAGATAACAATGACAATTGTTGAAATCCATATTTAAAGCCCTGTTTAGTATCATGAGAGAAGTTCCAAAGAATGTGTCATGAATAATAATGTCAATTAGAAGAAATTGGTGATGAACAGCTTTGAGGAAATCCGGTATAAAGTAAATGGATAAATGTAATATTGCTGGCAATTTGAGGGATAAAATTTACACAAAAGGCTTTACCAGAGCTTGCATTACTTCTACAGAGCTCTCTTTCCTTAACTGGCCATTGAAATGCAAAATAATTTGTCCACTTTGTCAAATTAGTAGAAAATTCCATTAATTCTAACACTAGCATATCGTTTAAAAAATACCTGTAGCTGACTTTTTCTCTTGGTAATCCACTCAAACCTTTCCCAGAAGGTCAGAAAAATGATCAAGTAGGTTTTTAATTAATTTAAGATACAAGGGACCCTTGCGTTATCTAATGGTAGTAATGGATAAATGCATGTTTTAAAGTAGTAAATACTGACCATAATGACAACTAAAGAACAAGGATTAGCTATGTGATTCAGAGTAGGGAGTTGGAAGAAATGGAGAAAGAGAAAGTAAAGGGGTATTGTTTTCTTTTTTGCCAGTTTTTGGGCCTGAACTCTGGGCCTAGGTGCTGTCCCTCAGCTCTTCATCTCAAGGCTAGTGCATCACCACTTGGAGAACAGTGCCATTTCTTGCTTTTTCTGCTTATGTGGTGCTGAGGAATTGAGCCCAGGGCCTAACGCATGCAAGGAAAGCAATCTACCACTGAGCCACCTCCCGGCCCAAAGGGGTTGTTTTGTTTTCCATTTTGTTCTGACACAATTTCTGGAACAACAGGTTCAGAAAGACAAAGAAAGCCTATTTTCTCTCATATGTGGAAGTTTGATTGAAAATACAAACATTAAGCATGAAATACACAAGAAACAATGTATGTAGTCATGGGCATAGAAAGACACACGGAATAAAGTACGGAGTGTCTTTCAGTTATGTGTCATCTATGAATAATGAACATGAGATACTGTTTAAATAAATGATACTTATACATGTTCTTCAGAAGAAGAGAATGGGTAAATGCAGGGCAACGAGGATTGTAGGGTATAGTGGGAGGCAAGTGCAGTCAAAATAATTATGAACGTAATTAGAAATAGAGCCTGGAAACTTGAGGGGATGGTGCTTTTTATATGTGGGGAGAATGATGGGAATGGTGACACTAATAAAGATGAATTGCACAGAATTTCACATATTGAATTCTACCTCTTTGTACAACTATTGAAAGAAAAATTAAGAGAAATCTTATCTCCAATTAACCCCATAAAATGCTCAGAGGCAGGTTCTGAGCTAAAGCACTACATCTGACCAAAAAAAGAAAACAGACTCCCACTCAAAAATGATGTAAAGTATGTAAACATTCTTCTGTCTTTCCAGTAATTTTTAAAATGAATACACAGCAAGCTTCCATGCCTGTGCTGGTAAGTCAATAAACATAGAAGACAGGAACTTGTACTAGAGATTCCTTGGTTTTACTTTTGTCATATTGCAATTTGAACTACTCCAGGATCATGGAGTTTTGACTGCAACATTATAAGCTCATATTTTCTCAGCTAATATATCAGGAACACACCATTTTAGCATGTCACTGTTATATTTTTTGTGTCTTAATGCAGTCCATTGTGGAGCCACTTTGCCAAAGGAGTAACAAGACAGTACTTAAGGAAGAGCATTGAGTAATAGTGAACAACATGTAGGAAGGGGGTTATTAAAAGCATTCAGACCCAAGGGGATAGGTGAGTAAGACTAAAACCCAGCACCCTTGACAAGCCAAACTTCTTGATCACTCATCCAAACTCTGGTCTAAGTAATTGCTTAACTTATGCCATACTCTTTCTTCTTCTGCACCACTTATTGCATTTTTAAAGTAACTTCCCAATTCCTGAGAGCTGTCCAGAACATTGTCAAAAATTCTTATACTTCTGTTACAACCTTTCAGATTTTCCAATAAAAATAAATGAAATTAAAGTACCCATAAAAGGCTTCAGAATTGTTCACTATTGACTTACATCTGTAACCCTAGTAACTCAGGACACTGGTATCTGAGAACCACAATTTGAAGCTAGTCCAGGGTAAAAAACCCATGAGACTCTTGTCTGCAATAAACCCGCCAAAACCAGAATTGAAGCTGCAACACAAGTTACAGAGCACTCATCTTGAGCACTGAAACTCAGTGATAAGGGCCTGAGTTCAAAACCCTAGGACCAGAGGAGTAAAAAGTATTCCATCAAAGGAAAATATAGCAAAATGTGGCTTCACCAGTGAATTGTTCAAAAAATTACACATTTGCTAATTCTCTGTAAGTTGTTCCTAATAAAAAGAACTGTAGAAGAATTTCTTAGAGCACATCTTGTGAGGCTAAACTTACCCTGATACTAAATTCAGAGAAGGAAGTAAAAAAAAGAATGAAAACTATATTCAATACATATAGGAAATGGTAACAAATATCCATATCAAAACACTAAAACTGGGGTTTCAGAAGATGGCAGAGGAGAAGCTAGAGGCTAAACAAGTTCTTACATAGAAAGCAGTTTTGGTGTTCCAGTGAACAGTCTTAGGCCAGAGAATTACACCAAGTATGTCATCACAGTACAGAGAGTTTGGCCAGAGAGGGAAAGTCCAGGCAAGGAGACAGATCTGAGCACTTGCTGGTAGCTGCAGCTGTGGCTGCAGTGGCAGGGGCGGCCATAGCCACCATACCAACCACAGAGAGTCTGGGACAAAGGAACCAGACACAGCAGGTGAGCGGATTATGCTCAACACCAGCAAGAACTGATGAGCAGATATATTCATCCTGCACATCGCAGACCAGAGACAACCCAGGAATCAAGATTCTGGCATGAGTAGAATCCTTACCAGTGAGCAGAGGAGGGAAAGCCACCCCCCACCCCCACAATCAGAGATCTCCAACTTTGATACT